TACCGTCGGGACGCAGCAGCAGAGGCGTCGGCGGGCCCAGCACCCCGGCGGCCGTCGCCGTGCTCGTCACCACGCAGGTGTAATTCCCCACGTCGGACGGCTCCACCTTGGCTATGTACAGGTGGCCGGTCTCCTGGGAGACGAACCGCCGCCTGTCCTCTTCGACGAACGCCGGGAACTCGTTGAAGATCCACGCGTATGACAGCTCTGAGACACGGAGGGAGAGGAGGGAAGGCCGTGGTCAGGGAACGGTTTCCGCTGAGCGAGGACGCACCGGACCGTCGCTGCGATGTGACGCGGGGCCCTGTGGCCGAGCCCGAGAGCAGCGGCGACACGGCAGGCTCTGCCCGCGTCCGGGCCGGCGCGGGGCCCTGTGACCCGCGGTCCTGGGGGCGGCGTCACCACTGCCCCCGTCGCTGCCCCTCCAGGCGCCTCACGGAGCCTCTGGCTTCCGCCCGCACCCTTTCCAATTTCCGCCTCCACACCACGCCGTCCACGACCTCTCGGAATGACCAACCTCGTCACGTCGACCCTCGACACAGAACGTCCCCCAGTTCCGCCGTTTCCCAGGCGTGACGCCCGGCGCCGTGAGGCCCGCCCAGAGCCCGCCTCCGCGTGGCCCGGGCTCCCTCGTGCCCAGGCCTGGCCGGCTACTGTCCCCCGACCCCGACCACCTGCCCCTTTCAACACTGAACTCCATATCCTGCTGCGGACACCACCAGACGGTTCGCAGCTCGGTTCCGGCCGTGGGAATCACCTCCCCCGAGGCGTGGCCCCCGCCTCCTCCGGGGAGATGCTGCTGTGCAGGGCGACCCCACACCGACGTCCGCCCCGTCCATGACGATCTAGCTTCTCGCTGCCCTTTCCATTTGGCTTAACGCAGGACACCGTGCTGCGCTACCCACCTCCCACGGAGGCCGAATACGAGCGCGTCCTTGACCCTGAAGGTCAAGGCACAGCCGCGTCCCCAGGGCCGTGCTTACCGCTGGCCTGAGGCTCCGGACAGCACGGCCTCGCTGCGGGCACTGGGACCGTGGCTGCCCCCCTGACGCCCCCTTCCACGGCCCTGTTTCCCTCACAATGTTACCGACCTCACTGCATTGCTTCACCACTGCAAGGCTTTTCCAAAGGAATTGTCAAAAAAACGTATGTGACGAACATACGTTCAGTAAAGGATGAGTTAACATCCACGTTAAGGCACAAGCCCGGGGTGGAGGGCCCCCCGCCTGGCAGAGGGGGGAGCAGGTCTGCACCCGTGAGACGACACACGGGCGGGCTGGGCGAGCGGCTGAGGGCCCCCGGGGGAGGGAGGCGGCGCTCTTCCAGGACCGAGAGCAGGTGTCCGAGGACAGGAGGGCACGGGGCCAGGCGGTGTCGGGCGCCCCAGGAGACGGAGCCTGGAGGCCCTGGTGGAAACGAACGCGGAGGACGGGTCCCTTCTCCCTGCAGCGCCCACGCAGACGCCCGGCGGGTGCTCAGACACGCGGCTCTCAGCCTCAAACCCACCCGGGCACACGCGACCCCGTCAGCAGAGTGTCTCTGAGCCCATCGGTTCCGCGGGGGCTGTGACATGTGAGGCCCTGCCCCCGGCACGTGCCCTCCGGCAGCGGCCTGAAGGCAGCAGGGGACAAGGACATGCCCGGCCGGGCCACCCGCGTTCTGCTCCTGTGCAGTCTGACTGCGATCCAGCAGGGGTCCCCTGGGGTCTCCCCGACCCCCAACCCTGCCACCTCACCTCGCGTCATTGGGGGACTCTGCTTTCCCGGTGTCCCCTTCATGAAATGACTGTGGCTGTCTCGCCCCTTTCATCCGGCCAGAGAAAAACTTCCGCTGCTCCCCCACGGGACAGGCTCAGCGGGAGAGGCCAGGCGCACAGAACCGGTTCATACTAAAATGAGAATGGCTGACGGAAAGAGCTCAGGTGAAGCTCGCGTAAGAAACTGATGCACAGCAAGGAGACGCCAGAGCAGGGACAAGCGTGACAACTTGGGACAAATGTCACGTGTGATTCCGAAGGAAAATTTCAAAGCAAAACACGATGTGTTCTAAGAATCCATTTGTCCTCCTGCGTTTAATTCCAATTTAATATCACTGACACTTAGCAGACATTTCCACGTTGCTATGGGGACGCTGTGGTGGCTCTGCCCGAATGACCTGGTAACAGCGGATAAGCAAGGGAAGGACGTCAAAACCGAAATCATTCCAAGGCCTCCGCTCGAGTGAGCAGGACGAAGGGAGTGTGTGGAAACCGGGTGGCCCGCGGCAGACACGCAGGGGCCACCGAGGCCTCAGGCAGGACCAGCTGCGTGACACGGGGGACAGACAGCCGCTCGTTAGCCCGGGACACCCAGGCCGTGGCCCCCGGCTACTGCCCCCAGCTACTGACCCCGTGGGGTGCTGACGCAGTCCCTTCTGCAGGCTGCTCTGGCGGGGGAGGGGGAGCGCAGGCTTGGAGAGTCCCCCACAGGGTCACCGCGCTCTCAGCTCATGCTGCGGTCGGCCTCCGCCCCGTCCAGGCTCCCTCCACTCTGCTCACAGCTTCAGACCTGGGCCCCAGCCCGGGGCTCCTGGGACCTCTGGCCGCCCCGTCCCCACCCCCTCACGAGCCACCGGCCAGTACTCGCTTTGGCATCCGATCCTGTGACCCCCCCACCCTGCGGGCTCCGCTTCCACGAGGACGTGATGGACACAGCGCTGCTGGAACCGAGCTCCCGTCTGCACTCACGGCCACGCCGCCCTGGGCCAGAGAGGCCGGCCTGACCCACTGACCTCTGTACACTGTCTCCCTCCCACCCTCCGCCAAGGTGACTGCTTCACTCAGCCCCGGGTCTGCAAACACAGAAGCCGACTCCTCCCAACGAGCTGGCATCCGGGGCGAAGCACAGTGCGCCTGCAGAGACCCCCACACGACAGAGGAGGGAACGCGGCACCGTTCAGGGCACCCTCCCCGCCCCCCGGCCTCGTCACGGAGCGGGGGCCCTGAGCTCTCGCAGGAAACGGGCCACAGGCGGACAGAAGCTGTGGGATAAGGCAGACTTGGGGGCCTGGCTGCACATGACGGCGACACGCGGACGTCATCAGACCGGGCTGCAGAGGCGCGTGTGTGCACAGCTAAGGGCTCGGGGTTCAAACTTAAGGACGAACTGTCCTTCTTTTATTTAGTCAAACATTCGAAAGGTAGTAAGTTGACAGCTACAAAATAGAAAAAAACAAAAAAAACAACCCTGCCCCTGAGTCGTGGGCCGTGAGTCTCCATAAAACGTAAGAACGTTCCAGACGCACACTGAGCGGGGCGTGGGGGGCAGGTGACTGACTGCGCCCGCCTGCAGCGGACGGACACTGCAGACCGAGGTTCCAGAGCACAGTGGCGAAGGGCCCGTCACTGAGTGGCATCGCTGTGTACCGTCTACTGGGACACGTGACACCCAACCTCGATTTGTGTGTTTCGCCAACAGTAAAAAAGTCATGAAGAAGATGCTCGATGACAACAAAAACAGCAAAGAACGGCAAACGCGAAGTTACTCACGTTTGTCTAGAGATAAATGGAACGTTTCGAACCTTAAGAGGGAAGTTAATCTGCTTTTTTAGTCCTTCGACTTGAAAGATGGTACGGAACTAACAACGCTCGAGCGAAGCGAGCTTTAAGCATCTGCGATAAATGTTAAACCATCCGGCACGAACAAGAAGGGCTCTGGCTCTTCCCATGCTTTATCGGCGGCTTCCAATTTCAAACGAAGACAGGATTTTAACGGCCCTCGTCGCTCGAGTGCGACAGTGAGTAACGTGACGTGTGCGGAAGCGCTCTGAACTCGGAAGATCCTGGAAGTACGGGCCTCGCGTTATTTCGAGGGAGCAAACACGTGGAAACGCTTAATGTGCAACGAAACGGAGCGTGTGTTAACAAGGTCCTGACACAGTGTGCACAGTGCAAACGGTGCGGTTCTCCCCGACCCGCCACTGAGGGGGCCGCCCGGGGGGCGAGGGCCGGCGCGTCTCCAGTCTCCTGCTGCCCCCTAGCACCTCAGGGCGGCAGCGCCCTCCGCTCCGCGGCCCCGTGTGGGCGGTGGGGTGCGACACGTCGGGGGTGCAGACTCCGTGCAACTGCTCAGGGAGACGCACACGCTTCCGACGAGGAAATACATGTGAGCCAGCTGGCCTGTGCTCGTGGGTGTTCCGAGTAACAGTGTCGCCTGCCAGACCCGGACGCGCACACGCAGACACACGCACACGTGGACAGATGTACGTACGGGCAGACACACACACGGACTACGTACATACACACAGACACACAGACAGACGTACGTACACACAGACACACAGATGTACATACATGCAGACACACATGGACTATGTACACACACAGACACACGTACACACACACATGAACATGTAGATACACGCAGACACGCACGCGGACAGATGTACGTACACAAAGACAGAAACTACGTACACAGACACACACATGGACATGTACATACATGCAAACACAAATGTATGTACACACAGACACATACACACGGAAAGACACATGGATATACTGACACACATGGACATACATACGCAGACACAGACTACATACACAGACACATGGACAGATGTACATACACGCAGACACACACATGGACACACATACACGTGGACACACAGACATCTGTACACACAAACATGGACAAAGGCATACACACACAGGGACATATGCACACACACAGACATACGTACACACAGATGCAGACATCTGTACACACATACACATGGGCAGACATGCGTACACACAGACATACGTGTACACTGACACACATGGACATATGTACATGCAGACACGGACGCACACACATGGGCATACATGCACACAGAGACACAGACACATGTGGACAGACATATGGACACACATACATACACGCCTACACACAGGCAGACAGGTACACAGAGACACACGCGGACAGACACACATACACACAGACACGCGGACAGGCAGACATACGTGTACACTGACACACATGGACATATGTACATGCAGACACGGACGCACACACATGGGCATACATGCACACAGAGACACAGACACATGTGGACAGACATATGGACACACATACATACACGCCTACACACAGGCAGACAGGTACACAGAGACACACGCGGACAGACACACGTACACACAGACACGCGGACAGGCATTCGCGCACACACACACACACACACGTATACGCACACAGACACAGGCACAAACCGGAAGCCCGTGACACAGGTTCGTGGAGCGTCCAGACAGCGCCGTCAGGAGTCAGGAGGGTGCGTGAGCCCCGGCCGGCCAGGCCACGCAGGCTGCGGACGCGCCACGCCGGGCGGGCGGCCTCCCTGCTCCGTGCCGGGACCCGACCCCGAGGCTGGACTATACTCTCACCGCACGCGGCTTCCTCCAAGAGCAAAGCGCGAAGACGACAGACACGTGTCCAACACCCGGTGCTCAAAACCATGACTTCTCTCTCCCCACCACTTCGTCTACGTCTTAAAGATGACCTGGCCGCACCGTTTCGGAGTGTCCCCCCGCTGCTACGGAGCAGCTGAGCTCAGAGGGGCAGGCGACGGGTCGGCCAGGGCGGCGTGCGGGGGCAGCTCCTCTAACCTGCGGTCCTGCCTGCCCGCCCCGGCCTCCGCGTGGCGAACCCCGAGTTCCCGGTCATCACTCGGCTGCTGGGCTCCTTGCTGCGTGCCCTCGCCGGACGCCGAGGCGTCTCGACACGTCTGTGTCCGCGGGGCCCAGCAGGGCGGGTGTCGTAAGTGTTTGCTGAATTCAATAAACCAGGTACAGTGAAGGGATCTCAAGAATCGTGACCGATCCGCTTCTGCCCGGCCGTATCGAATAATTAAAAAGCTAAGGCTGCTTTAGAGACTTATGACTGGATCTTAAAATGGCCAAAAGTACACGTCTGAATGCTGCGTCTCATTAAAAATGGCCATTTCCTTTATGCACAGAGGAGACTCTCCACATTAACGAAAGGCTCTTTTCTCCCTCGAAGACCCCGTGACTTTCCGTTTTAGCTTTCCTGCTTGTTGACCATCACACAGAAGGCGTCCCTAACACCCCACTTAACAGACGGGGACGCGGACGCTCCGAGCCACTGAAACCGTGCACCGTCCCAGCCGGGCCTGTGACGAAGGCCCCGCAGGCCCCATATGTTCTCAGTTAGAATCTGCTTTCTCGGAATTAACACGGTTTCTGTAGCCCGCAAAATCATCGCCCTTGGTAGAGCTCCAGCGTGCAAAATTTCTATTTCAGAGAGACTTGTTTGGTAAAGTTTTATGAGAAACCGCGATGGCGAGCCAGGGTGACAATCGTGCCGTTTTAGAGGCAGAGGTGAACGGTGAAGGACGAGGCACCAGGGCCGCACGACACGCCCCGTCCAGGCGTTTCCTCTGAGGGACCGGCAGGACCACGCCTGTCGTGCAAGGTGACCTGCGTGGAGGACGACGTGGCAGCTCTGGGTGTGTACGTTACAGGGCAGTGCCGGTGACCGCCGTGGGCCGCCCAGGTGTGTGGACAGTGCAGCCCTTGAGAGCCATTTATCACGTTCCAGCAGTAACCACGGTATTTTAAGGTTCGATTTCCCGCCTCAGGAAGCTGTAAGAGCGTTTGTCTGTGGAAGTCCGAGAATCAGTGTTTAACATCAGTTACGAGGTCCGAGCACAGGACCCCTGCGTCTCGGATCCCCAGTAAGATCGCACCCCGCCCCCTACGCGTCCTGCTGACGAGGGAAGGGAGCCTCGGGGGAATCGGCCTGTGACCTCGTAACGGGAAACGCATCTTAGCCAAGAGGCCGTGTGAGCCCGGTCACCGTGAACCTGACGCCGTCTCCGATGAGGACATGGGGCGGGCTCAGCGCATTCCGGCTCCGCTGCTTCCCCGGCCCGATTCGACGTCCTCTCACAGCTCAGTCCCCGTGCGAGGCGAGTCTCCCGTGACCACGGCTTCCACCCACCCGGCTCCCACCGAAAGGACACTCGGGCGCCCTCTGCCTGCCACGCAGACGACGGAGCGGGCGGCAGTGTTTGGGACGCGTCCCGCGCCCGGCCCTCTGTCCCCACGTCCGCCTCCCACGCGGCCACCGGACAGAGCTGATTCAGGGGCCGGCGAGACATCTAAGAGCAGCGTTTGCGAGGGC